AAAAAATATAATTGACTACAGGGCTACAAAGATTTATAACCAATTAAAATATTGATTAAGAAAATAGAATAAAAATTATTAAATTATATTCAAATTATGTTTTAATATAAATAATAATTTTAAATCTTGCTCAAACGCTTATTGTCTTATAACTACATGATTAGAGTTGTTAAAAGGACTTTTTGTTCGTGAACAACTATTGTTCGGCTCGTTTGCTTAACACAAACAAACTTTTTGAGCTCGAAATATAAACGAGCCGAACACGAGCTGAGCATGGCTCGCTCGTGTTCAGCTCGTTTACACCCCTAATAATGATAATATTGCTGACAAGTGACAATTTAGAGATTCCTCATTGTTGATAAATTTTACTTATTATAATTTTAAGGAAAATTTACATATGTGCCAAACAATTGCTATACATTTACATATACAAAGCCTAACATTTTACATTTACATTTACACACTATAAATATCAGAAAATCACAAATCAGGTTCTACAAAAAATGGAAACATATGCTTCTTGCAATGAAATATGGATCAGGTTTTAATTAATATCAAAAAGGCATACACTTTATATTAAGAGATGGATTAAACAAAAAAAAAGAAATTGGTGATTCAAAAACACAGCTTCCTTCAATTATTAGACAACAAATCCTTTTCATAAAATATTAGGTTGTATTGGATTTTGACAACAGCCAACATTTTATATTCAAAAGTGGGTCTAAGTTGAACGAAAGGGCAAGAAACTGCTGTACGCAAGTACTATTCTTCACATAAAATCTTGACCAACAAAATATTAAATGCAAACATGCAAATTTGACAACTTTGACATAACACGTGACCTTTATTTCTGAGGCAAACTCCAAAACTTAACGATCAAATGTCGTCCTTATCACATATATTCTAGCACTAGCAGGCAAACAAAAGTCTGTATAAGCCAACAATCTAAGCAAAATTATGGTTATGAAAGCCAAGTCATTAGTGGAGGGAAAGGTGTAATAATTTCTAACATAGACATAAATTTAATGCCTACAGATTCTGAAAAAAATCTAAAAATGTCTTCCCAGGTAACCACATGAGTTGAGAAAAATTTTTGCACAAGATTTTAAGCCAATGGAAATAGATCAACGGGATTTGAGCTTTGAGTAAAGTTTAGTTTCATCAACACTTCCATCGCTTTTGCCTGACAACCTTCTTGGCGGTGCGCTTGCCGCCGGACCCAGCACGCTCCATTGATTTCTTTGTTTTTTCGTCCAGAGGTTCGCTGGCATTGTTGTCGGTGATTTGAGTGGAAGGAAGGGAGACGGAAGAGTTAGCTGGAGGTTCAGGAGTCCCATCAGGAACATCAGCACGGCTGCTGCTCATTGATTCAAGGTGAGTATTGCTGTTATTGATTTCCGTAGGATGTCTGTGGAGCATGGATATTCATCTTTATATGCAAATCTTATAGATGAGCAAATTATAATTAACTGAAGCATTGTGTTTACCCATTGATGTTAATTTCTTCTGCTGGTCTAACTGCATCTTTAGGGATAGGATCTGGATTTTCATCTGGTGGCTTTGAATCTGTAAATAAGCGCATTGGAAAGATAAATAAGTTGTGTTCATGAATGCGATGGAAAGACAGTCAAACAATTAAACAGGAGAAAAGATAAATTATTTACATTTAGTTTGATTAAAAGACTTAAGATGCTCTTTATGTTAAAGCATACAGGGGAATGGCTCCAGACACATCAAGCTCATTGGCAACCGTCAGATAATTGCGTGGGGCAAGGAAACTTATACAAAATCATCAAGCATGGGTATTGGTGGCCATCCAGCTGATTTCAGATCAGAGGGTGAATCTCGAACATCACTTGATTAGCTTAACGAGTACATTAATTTTCTTATAATGATACTTCATTCATGTCCCTTTCTCTATTCCATGCGACCTATATAAACGAACCTCGATGGGAGACTTTAGTTATCTGATGATGAAGCTATTAGTTTAGAAAGTACACGACATTTTGGAATTGCTGGCTAAGGAGATTTTGATCAAGCCAATCTTCCTCCAAGTGAAGCAGAGAACCCACTGGGTTAAGCAGTAAGGCTTTGATTGATTCAATGACCCCTGAGTGATTTGGCAACCTAGTTTATATGATTCAAGATAAATCTTTACTTTTTTTTTTTTTTTGAGGCATTTATATAGATAGGACACATTTCTTATGTATTTACATATCTCACACCAAAACTTTCATATTTACAAACATAGCACTAGAATTTTTAATATCAAATCAAAATAGCACTATTATCACTTTTAAAAGTGAAATGCATATTTTCATGCATAAGTTTAAAGTTAGAAATTGTTATTAATGTAGATATAAAAATTTAGGCGTTAGATATGTAAATATATAAAAATTGTTCGCTATGTATGTAAATTTCACAATTTTTTTAATTTGTTTTACCTCTCTTTGTGTCCATCCTCTCCTTCCCAGCCCGTAGTTATAATCCCTATCCTCTTTCCCCTAACAAATACAATCTAATTTGTTTTACCTTTCTCTGTGTCCATCCTCTCCTTCCCAGCCCGTAGTTATAGGGTCTGTTTGGGGCAGCTGCAGCTTATCCAGCCAGCTGTCAGCAGTGTTCTGCTTTTTAACTTCCCATGCTGTATTATTGACATCTGAGCAAGTTCTTTTCTACGTTAGAAGCTTACAAGATTGTAAGAATCCAAAAGTATAACTCCAAACAAAAGGTACATTTAAGTTCCCTCCCTCCCTCCCTCGTTCCACCCTCTCTCATAATTTTCATCCTCTTTGCCATTGAAACGCGGCCTTCTTCCATAAAGTCCACCACACAGTCACTAAGACCTATTTTTCGTTCCACCCTCTCACAATTTTCATCCTCTTTGCCTTTGAAACGCCTCCTCCTTCCATAAAGTCCACCACACAGTCACTAAGACCTATTTTTCTACTTGCACATACTTTCAAATCACAAATCTAACACCAACACTAATTATTCATGATCTCTTTTATCTCAGCAGAATGAGCTAGGTTTGTGATTTGAAAATAGATGCAAGTCATTAAAGTGAAGTTTATTTTTAGGAGATTGCCGACACCATCAACAATGCTACTTTAACTCCTACCTCCCGACTCATCTTCCACTCTACCATAATTGCCAGCCAACAACTTCCCACGACCTAATCACAACAAAAATAAGTCATCAAAGTTACCTAAGAAACTCCAGAAAAAACCTAATTACGTCCTTTTAAATTTAAATCAAATCAAAATCTAACTTAAACTAGATGGAATCTAACCATGGCAACCTAAATCCTATCCACCCAATCACCCTAAGCAGCGGATCTAATTGAGAACCAGAAATTTTGACTCAACAAAACAGAATTTCTGCTAATTGATACGATATACTGCTAAATTAGATCTCTTTTATTGGACTACATCGGCTCCACATCAATCGGTTAAGAGCCTTTTCCTCGGCAACCAAAGTTCTAAACTCACTCTGCTTTACCCCTTTTACTATCATCTAGAGTATATAGTTATTCATAAAAAGATAATACAATTGAAAATCAAAGGACCCTTCTAGCTTTGCAATAAAGAACCACGTTAATCCGCAAGGAAAAGTGAGAAACCTTCTGCATCGAACTTATGTAGAGTTAAAAGATTTTGCTCAAAATTGAATAGTTTATCTATTCATGAAAAACTTGGGCACTACTAAAATAGAGCCCTTGCAACTTTCTTTACAACTAAAACACTATTTACAACAAGGACCCTAAAATAAATACAATTATCAATACTCTCTCTCAATATGGGCAAAAGATGTCCTCTGATCCCATCTTGTCATACAAACTAGATCAATCTAATGAGTTAAGTCCATTGGTGAGGCAGTTAGCTACTTGCTCTCTAGTAGCTACGTGACTTATCTCCCTTAGTCCACTATTCAGCTTCTCCTTGAAGAACTTATCAATCTCACATGTTTGATTCTGTCGTGTTGCATCAGGTTGTTGGCAAACTATTGACGTTAAAAAGAAAAATAAAATTATTAAAAAATTATTAATGTTGTTAATTAGAATAATTAAACTTATGTAATATTTATTAATTAGGTTAATTAAATTTAATTAATATTAAGGGTATGTTTGGAGCAGCAACACAAGAAGCTGTTGCGGATAAACTGATTGTCTGTTTATTTTTTTAAATTTATTTTTTGCAATTTGAAAATAGTTTGTTGCAGTTGTTTCTGATTAAATCATCATTCTACCCTTGTATAGAAAAGTTGGTTGCAACAAAACTGTTCATACCAATATATTTTATACTTTAAAAGAAAAAATCTAGTGCAGAACATTACAAAATAAATATAGACACCTCACTTAACAGTGAGTAACATGATTACTAAAATTAAGAAAAACACTATTAAAATAATAATTAATCATATGATAATATTATTTTTAAAATAAAGATAACGTATGTTACGAACTAAGCTGTCCTTCAGAGATACTCTCCATGCTCGATCACTCTCGATTGTGGAATCTTCCAACCTATCTACCCATTGATAGTCAAAGTTTTTTGTGATTCTCCACGGGCACCGTAAAACTGTTTCCCGTAGCTATGTGGCTGACATGAAATTAGCAAGAAATTTTGAATTTCACAGAAACAGTGCAATCCTCATAAGGTAATAGAAATCCTCGAGCTTATCTTTCCTGAATGAAGTCAGCAAGGAATTTTGAAGTTCACAGAAGTTGTGCAATCCTCATAAGGTAACAGAAATCCTCGAGTTTATCTTTCCTGAATGAGTCGTGAAGTTCATGATTTTGTGTAGCTCCTCCAACAAATCGATGAATATCATCTGTGTTATGCGGAACATATTGTTAAATCTCGTTGTGTGATGTGCAAACAACTCGTCAATCCATTTGTCGCCAACATATGAGGATGTCATGCAAAGAGAGCGATTTATGTACGAGTTATAACATTAGAACATAAAGCATAATGCAGCTGCAACACTCTTGCAATCGTGTCTTCTCTAGGTGTATTTATATATTTCAATATCAAAGTTCAATGAATTAGCTACAATCATATAAGATTACGAACAAAATTAACATAAGCAAATAACATTACAAAAGTAAATAAAAAACATAACCAAAAATAAAAAAAAACGCTCCAATGAAGTGGCATGTCCAAAGCATCATAAATATCCAAAGCATCATGTAAAATCATAAACAAATAGAAATGTCCCACAAAAATCTAATAAAAAAATATCCCTCAAATGTCGTTGCTCCTATGAAAATAACGTAGGTAAGTCACCCTACTGTTATCGGGCATCGTTATGAAATTCTCTCCGAGTCGAATCTTCATGCAACTTCATAGAGAACAAATATAGTGTAATGTCCTCGTAAATTTCAGGGGTTGCATCCAGAATTCACATAACATGTTGGACATAAATTGCTTGTGATGGCTGGGGTCAATGGTGCATGAAGCCACCAACTGTGAGATCTGGCTTTTAAGAAAAGCAGCTCCCTCATTCTTTTTTTTTCAACACGAGAACGCTTTGACCAGCATGTGGACTCAACTTCATAGAGATCTAGGCTGGGGCCTTCAATGGAATCATTTGTTTAGTCAGCACCCAATTTTCCGAGAATGCAACCATTGGGGGCACATGCATTGTTGTTTGTTGCCACGACACCTCGAAACATGCAATCTAACTTCTCCTCCAGCTCAGGATCAATTCCACTATATTTAATTTTTTTTGAAACAAGCGCCACCTACAAATTTACATACCATGTTGGATTTAAAACTAAATTAAAAATTGACAAAAATATGAGACATTTCAAAAATGCTCACCACCAGTCTCTCTGCCCACCACTCCTCGGAATCATCAATCGTCCGCTTTACCGAATCCCACCCCAAGCGCGTTGATCCTCACTTCAATTCCTTCCAGATTTTTCAATCTTTTTTTAGTTGATCACACTTGCTTTTTAACAGCTTCCTATCACACTCTCTGTCTATACTTTTCTTGAATTTTTTAATAATATTCTGTCAATCTTCTTTGTTGAAATAGGTTGTCGGTCTATTTCCCAGTTCAACCTCGTTGAATCAAATGTCGCAAAATATTAATTTTATCTTTTGATTCCACATTGCAAATGAACCATTATCTTTTTTCTTAATCATTGTACTACTAACATGAAGAAAAACTTATTAACATAAATAGGAATGTCAAAATATCACAAATAAAAAATATAAATGCCACAATATCATTATTAATGCCCCTCCACACTACACTACAACCCCACCTACACATCACCACTGCCACCACCTCCACATATCTACACATTCAACACATCCACAACAACGCTACCACCTCCACACACCAACACCTTCACACAAACGCAACCACAACCACAACCACAATAACACACCAACCACCACCTCCACAACGTCATCACCTATACACATCCACCAACGCATCCTCTATCACAAACACAACTACATACCAACCACCATAGCATCATCCCATCCACACATTCATCAACACATCCTTTAACACAAACACAATCACACTCCAAACAACACCTCCGTAATACC